ACTCCCCTGTTTTCCTCACTAGTCAGTCCTTTAGGTTTCAGCTTAAACGTTATGTCTGCAAGAAACTCCTTAACCAATTTTTCCCCCAGCCTGGGTTAAGAATGCTCACGGAAGCCTGAGCTTCTCCTCGTTCTGTAGGTGCAGAGAGTGACTGCTTCACTCATCCCAGTGTCCTCAGCACCTATGTGCGGTCTGATAACCGCTGATACTCACAGAAGGTTAATGGGAGGCATGCATGAGACAGTATGAGCTCCTTGAGTGTCTTGTGAGGGAGGGAGGTGGGTCATCCGGGCAGAGAGGGAGCAGAGAAAGTGACTGTGACATAGACGGTACTTGTGAACACTTAGACTATAAACACACAGAGAGATTTGTTTTCAAATCTACTGTGAAAAGGGAGGGTGATCTTGGAAGCAGTTTTTAGCTGAGTGTCTAGCCCTGGGCAGCTTGCTTAGTCTGAACCTGTGTGTCTCCATCAGTTAAATGATGGCAACTGAGCACACTCATCGTGTGCTTCGGAGCTCTGCGTATGTGCCTGACGGCTTATTCCTGTCCTTAGGGAATTCGAGGTAAAATGATTAGTGGCGTTCTGGCAGAGAAAGGGAGACCTCTTCCCTGCAACTTCTCCCAGGAGTTAGATTCTAATTTTATAGCCCATTACTAAGCCATTTGCAATAAAGACTCTCAGGAGACTATTTTTCTAAGTAGGCGAAGGATATGAGTGAGTAGAAGCTAAAAATAAAGAGAACTTTGGAAAATGCAGAGAATTGAGAGATCAATGTACTGAGGACAGTGGGATTTTGGGGGTTAGCAGATAGAGGTTTGAGTATGTTCCTAATTATTTGGCCCCAATTCACGAAACCATCTGCCTCATCACCCCCATCACCAAACAACCAATGCATGTAAACACCATACCTCTGTATCTCCAATGCAAATATCAAGCCTATTACATTCTTTTTTTAAGTTAATGAATCTTTATTTATTTTTGTATTATTAGCATTATTTTTAATTGGAGGATAATTGCTTTATAACATTGTCTTAGCTTTTGCTATATAATACGAATCAGCTGTCAGTATAGATATATAGATATAGATATATCCCCTCCGTCTCGAGCCTCCCTCCCACCGCCACCCATCCCACCTCTCCAGGTTTGCGTTGCATTCTGATGTTGTTACTGCTGAGGTCTAACAGACCAGGAGCGCACTGGCAGGCAGTACCACCACTTGGTGGGATGATGACTTTGGTGTTAATCAGCTGTGGGAAAGACAGTCGTGCTCATCAAGGATGGAGGTGACTGGAAGAGTACTTAGCAAGGGGCTCATCGGTGCAGGTGATTCCACCATATAACATTTCTCCTCCATTGCCAATTTTGGAGAAACTAGAATGGATTTTTCCTTTGTCTTTACTAAGGAAAGGTAAGTTTATTTATACCATAATTTTTTCATTGATTCTGCCCTGCCTTTTTACTAGCTGTTTTGATGGTAATAATGCTTGAAATCAGTGCCTTCCAGTTCTCTTCTACAGTAGAGATGATGCCTTTAAGTGATTTGAAGTATACTCCCTGTAATCTCGTGCTTTGTCCTTTTGCCTGTGAAGTAACAAAAAATAAGCAGTATTCCTCTTTCTGACTCTTTTTGACTTCATGGACTGTAGCCTGCCCGCCAGGCTCCCCTGTCCATGGGATTCTCCAGGCAAGAATACTGGAGTGGGTAGCCATTCCCTTCTCCAGGGGATCTTCCCCACCCAGGGATCAAACCCAGGTGTCCCACACTACAAGCATTCTTTACCATCTGAATCACCAGGGAAGCCCCATTCTTTTTCTATGATGGCACTTCAAGTATTTGAATGAAACTATTGTTTCCTCGCCGCATAATTCCTTTTCAAGTCAATTAACCTTAATCTTAATCCTTTAGCTATCTGTCACAGAGCTAAGAATGTAAGTCTCTGATGCTCCAAGACTCTCCAAAAATGATACTGCATAGAAATAATGAGAGCAAACATTTATTGAGCTCTTACTATGTGACAGATACTATCATTAAGTACTTTGCCTGTGTTAATTCATTTAATTTTCACAACAGCCCTACAAAAAAATCTTATTACCTTCAGTTTAAACATGAGGAAACTAAGTCACCAAGAGGATAAATAACTTTCCTAAGGTCACCCAGTTCACAGGTGGCACAACTGGATTTTCAACCCAAACAATTTGGTTCCAGACAACATAGTCTTAATCCCAATGCCATTCTACTCCTCAGGGTCCCAAATCTCACTCATAACGGAGTCTGGAGCTCCCAACTCTATAATAGCATAAGTTCAGTGGGATACTAGTGCCTGCAAAATGGTAATATGTCTTTGTTGAACAAGGTTCCATGGTCAAAAACATTTGGGAAATGCTGAGTAAGGTAACACTGAATAAGCTTCCACTCTGCAGGGCTTTCCAAAGTCTTTAATATTTTCACAAGCATGAGGGGTCTCCAAAATCTAGATGCAGAATTTTTCAACCCTATTAACCTTTGGAACTCTCATCTAATAAAACACCTAATAATATGTGGCATTTGATAGAATATTGCTTAGGAAACACTGCCCTAAAGTGTAGTTTAGATTCATCTTTATTCTTTTTCTTTTCTTTTTTTTTTTTCTGGCAGAAAATGATTTCATTTTATATGATCCAGAAGTTTAGCATCATCTACACAACATAAATGGCTTCCCCATGGGGTCAGCAATAAAGAATCTGCCCGCAATTCAGGAGAAAGATAACAGGAACAGACATCAAGTGAGAATCTTCTGCGGACTCAGAGCCATACCATGCATTTTATGTGGCACATAAAATCTCCCCGACCGAGGGAGGTGTGCGTCATTAGTTCCAGTTTACAGATGAGTAAGCAAAGGCACACATTAAACAACAGGTCACGGCCAATGAACTTTGGCATTCAATCGTCCCACGTGCAGTCCATGTTTCTTGGGTACATTTCATCCTGGTAAATAGTTACTTGTGGCTTACTTATTAGGTTGAAAACATCCTGTTAATTTACTATTATTTAATTTATTAACCTTAAGGTCTGACTCTTGCGAGGAAAATGCTTATGAACCGTGTAATACAGAGGCAAAAATGTGACATTCCTGTATTTTACAGATATATTCTTTCTCAGGATCAGCTTGCCATGCAGAAACCTCTCTGTCTCTCTTTTCTACACTCATTTCTTGCTCTCACTCAGGCAGATATTTTTCTTCCTCACTTTGGATAGCCAGGTTTAATTTCTTTAAAACAGACTTTATTTTTTAGGTCAACTTTAGATTTACAGAAAAAGTAAGAAGCTAGTAGAGAGAATTCCCATATATTCTGAAGCCAATTTCCCCAAATATTAGTGTCATGTATAAGTACAGAACATGTGTTATAATGAATGAACTGATGCTGATATATTATCACAAACTAAAGCCCATACTTGATTTGAATTTCTTTAGTTTGTGTCTCGTGTCCTCTTTCTGCTCTACAATCCCACTCAGGACACTACATTATAATTAGTTGTCATATACCTTGAGGCTCCTTTGGACTGGGACAACTTCCCAGACACTTCTAGTTGTTGATGACCTTGACAGCTTTGAAGAGTACTAGTCAAGTATTCTGTACACTGTTCCTTAACTGGAATTTGTCTGATGTTTTCCTCATGGTTAGACTGGGGTTATGGGTTTAGGGAAAGAAGATCACAGAGGTGAAGGGCCATTTCATCAAGTCACTCTGTATGGCCCACACCAAAGGAGTGGAGAGTTATGTTCTTTTCCTTCTTTGACTCCAGAGTGTCTGTTTAAATTATTTGGCATTCTTCTGCCCAGGAGATCTGTCTCTTCACCTATTCATGTATTCAGTCACCAGGTAGAATGTAACTAAAGTACTAGGGGGTAAAAAATTATTTGGTTCAAAAATATTTCTTCTTACAATCCAGGGCAAAAGCATTTTTGAACGTCTATTTTCCTTTGCTCATATTTAAATATAATCTCATTCTTCATTTACGATTTGATGCTGGAGGATAATCGCTTTGCAATGTTGCATTAGTTTCTGCTGTTCAACAAAGTGAATCAGCTGTAACTGCACACACATCCCCTTCCTCCCAAGCCTCCTTCCCACCAACTTCCCCCAGCGCATCCCACCCCTCTGGGTCAGCGTTACACAGCAGCTTCCCACGAGACGTCCGTTTCACACATGGTACTGTACACATGTGAGCGCTACCCTCTCGATTCATCCCACTCTGAGCCTGCAGACGATATAAAGACGACTCACACAAGGCTCCCTGCCGGAAGAAACACTCCTCGGGGTCAGTCAGAAATGTATGCATTTCACAAGGTAAATAAGTGCTGGGAAAGTGTGAGTCTGTGGTCCAAAGTTAGTGTTAGTTAGTAGTTAGTCTAACTAGTTAGTGTTAATCTAACTAACTAACTAGTTAGTGTTAGTCTGTAGTCCAAAGTCTGTAGTCTCTCAGTGTTTGGGAACACTGAGATAATAGTACCATCATCCTTCTGTATCCATGGAGGACTGATTACAGGACCCCATGGGTACCAAAACCCCTGGATGCTCAAGACCCTTATATAAAATGGCAGTGCTAGGATAATGAGTACAGTCAGGCCTCCCTACCAGTGAGCTGCACATCTGTGGATTCAATCAATCCCAGACAGAAATTTTGGTTGACTCTGAAGGAGGTATGACTTGTAAATATGAAGGCCAACTGTAATTAATTCAGGCAAAGTTTGATACAGGAAGAGGGAGTCCAATGTTGACTTCCTGGGTGTGCAACCATGATTCTGAATGATCCTAATTATGGAAATGGAGAAACCTTAGCTCACAGACAATGAAAGATTTATCTAAGATCACACAGTTGGGTAATGTAAGAGCCTAAGCTGAAAATCAAGTCTTCCAGTTTCAGACCCTATGTTCTTTTCACTGCATCCAACCAGAAGATAACACAGAAGTCTGCTGTTCCATGACTTAAAGCTGAAATGAAAAGAGCACTTACCTCAAATAAACGTAAAACTTTGGCCAGTGCACCAACTTCTTCTTTGAGTGAGAAGATCAGTGATACAGCATTTTGATCGGAGTTGCCTTCAATATAGCTCGTTTCCTATAGGAGTAAATGCATTTGAGTGAAATGTTTTTTTCACAGCTCAGCAATTCGGTCCTGTGAAACCTCCAAGGAAGAAGCGAGCATGAACTTTCTCTTCTAGTTAAGCCTTGGAATACAATGAGCTACATACATTCTATATAGAAGTACATGTGCAAGGGAAAATAAGTAAATCAAGGAAAGTAAAACACTAAATGACGCTCACAGATCATATTTCAGTTTTAGAAAACTCTAATTTTTCACTGGGGCTTCCCTGGTGGCTCAGATGGTAAACAATCTGCCTGCAATGCAGGAGATCCAGGTTCAACCCCTGGGTTGAGAAGAGTCCCCCCTGGAGAAGGGAATGACTACCTACTCCAGTATTCTTGCCTGGAGAATTCCATGGACAGAGAAGCCTGGCCAGTTACAGTCCATGGGGTCACAGAGTCAGACACGACTGAGTAATTAACACACACACAATTATTCACTGATGTCACCAGTCACTCTAAAGATTGCCTTTCAGTGACACTTACCAAGTGCGAGGTACAATCAGGGCTCTGAGAGAAACAAATGAATAAGAGGATGCCCCATTCATCAGCAGCTCAAATTTTTCCTTAATAGACACATACACAACAAGCAAAGTAAGTAGGAAAAGATCTTAAAGGTGGTATGATGGTTCAACAATTGTCCCAGGAAAACACAGAAACAGAGGGTAGAAAATACTAAAATTAGAATACACACAGGCTTTTAGCTCCAAAGACATGGGTTGGAATCCTCTCTCTTCCATTGACGAACCAGAGCACTCTGGGACCAACAGCTTAACCTTCTTAATTTCCTCATTTGTGAAATCAAGCTAATGTATAATCATGCCAAGCCCTATCAAAACAGTATTCAGATGATGAAAGTAAGACAGAGAGAAAATATTTTAAATATAATATTAAGAAAAGCATACAAAATGATGGAAATACTAAAAATACCCACAAAAGATTTCTTGGTCTTCAGTAAAGATCTTGCAGGAGCATTAACTTGTTCCCAGATGCTGGGATCTGAGATACCAATTGTTGAAAGAGAGTCACAGAATACATAAGAGCACACAAATAACCTACTGGAAGATGGATGTCTTAAAACAGCAAAGAATGTCAAGGATCTAACTCTTTCTCCAGCCACATGACAGCAAATTAAGGTGAGACTAGGGTTGCCACTCCACAAAGGGTTGGCCGACGTCTTAAAATTTTAAAGTTAAGGATTAAATTAGGTTTGACAATAATACACAAAGTTCCATGTGTGCCTTCAAATAAACATCATATACCTAAAACTGGGAACAAAAACTCCATGCAGAACAATTACTCTCTTGTAAGCAAGTTAATGAAATTAGCGGAATTGATGTCGCGTTATCTCAGTGAGAAGGCTGTCCTGGGCAGGCTCTCGGTGACTTGGCATCTTAAGTGCTGTGTGACCACTGATGACCCTTAGGATGAAATTCTTTTAATTCAGAGAATTCAGATTTTCCCAGAACCTCACCTGAAACAGTGTGGGGGAAGAACCAGAATTATCAGTAAGTGTGATCAGAGGGAGCCTTGATGAATAGCAAGACTGAACTGTTATATATCTTTGTATGGATCACAGCACTATCTTTCTAAAAAAAATTTTTTTTGGATCTACCATATATTAAAAGCCCCTATAAAGTCATGTCTGACTCTTTGTGACCCCATGGACTGTAGCCTACCAGGTTCCTCTGTCCATGGGATTCTCCAGGCAAGAATACTGGAGTGGGTTGCCATGCCCTTCTCCAGGGGATCTTCCCAACCCAGAGATTCAACCCGCGTCTCATGTCTCCTGCACTGCAGGAGGTTCTTTACCACTAGTACCGCCTGGTTAGTATACTGTCCTAAGCATTATAATAAGCACTTGATTTGGATCATCTCATTTAATTTTGATAACTGTCTAGAAAGTAGGTTCTCTCCAGGTGCCGTTTTTATCGATGACAAGAGGAAGGCTTAGAGAAGTGACATAACGCGTCCAGAGCTGCAAGATTAGCGGTGGAGCCCATGTCGCTGGATGCCAGCACTCTGTTCCTGAATCACAGCTTCCTATGGGCTCTACTTTCTGCCTCCAACCCTGCCAGAGACACACAAACCAGTCACTGATGTCGGTCTTCCTCCTAGGAGAGAACACTAAGCCCTCGGTTCTTCCCAGTTTCCTTGAAAGGACAAAAAATTTCTACTTCTAGTTCACTTGGCAACATTTTCCTTTCTGTTGGCTTCCAGGAAACAGAACATTTCAACAGATGTCACCTATGACTAGTGCGATTCAGATGTGAATGTGTGAAACTCTGTCAGCCACCACCTTCCCACTTCCACCCAGTCCAGTCTGACTTTCTCCAGAAATGGCTCTCAGGGTCAGGCCTTTCTTTGGTTCCCACGGACAACACTCCAGCCCTTAGTGACTGGCAGTGATTGGATGCCCCTAGCAGAATTTAGGGCTTCAGAGGAGCCTGGTGGGCTATAGTTCATGGGGTCACAAGGAGTCAGACATGACTTGGCAACTGAACAACAACATGGCCAACAGTATACAATACTTCTTTTGAATTTTCAAAAATCTCCTTGGTGCCTCATCTCCTGAGATTCACCCTCAGGAAACTCCTCTCCAGAAAACTGACTTCCTCCTTGTTCTTTCAACACCTCACTACCAGAAACGCACTGCATCCCACCCTCTTCCCCTTTCAAATCCATTACCCTTCCTCAAAAGCCCCACGGGTAGTATTTCTCTCAGAAAACTTCTGTACTCCTCAGCCAAGGTGAATAACCCCTCCTCAGTCTAGGTATTCTGTTTGTCTCCTGATGCCCTCATGGGACTTGAGAATAACTGAGTCACAGAGACAGGCTTGTCCAAATCTCATTTTGGGGAAACTATGGGCCAAAGAACATGACTCACCTGAGAGCACACAGGAAGTACATGGCAGTTAAGAGCTCAGGCTCCTGCTGTGGGGAACAGCACGGAGGTTCCGCACAAAACTAAACATAGAATCGCCATATGATCCAGCAGTCCCACTCCTAGACATTTATCTGGATGAAACTATATTTCAAAAAAATACATGCACCCCAATATTCATCACAGCACTATTCACAATAGCTAAGACCTGGAAACAACCGATAGGTCCATCTGACAGATGAATGGATAAAGATGTAGTACATATATATATACCAGAATATATACATATTGCAATATATATATATTGCCGGGAGAAATATCAATAACCTCAAATATGCAGATGACACCACCCTTATTATTTTGAAATGAGGAAACAGACTCAGCAAGATTAAGTGGCTTGTCCAAGGACACTCAGCTAATGAGTGGCAGAGCCTGTAAGTGAACCCAGGTCCAATAACTCCAAAATCCTTAGTCTAAATCCGTGACCCAACTGGAACAATAGCTCCCTCTTCAAAGCTTGAGGGACCTGAACTGAAAGGAAGCGCATGGAATTTTGTGAAATGATGTTTCTTGGATGGATTCTGATTCCAATACTGTTCTGTGGACCAGCATGGGATCTTGGGCAAACCTTATCCAGAATGTGTTTAAACTTGCTCATAATCTGTAATTATTTGCTTCAAATAGATATGTGAGTTGACTTAAAAACACATGTACACTCAGGATGCATAAAGGTACAGAAAATTAGTTTAAAAACTAGAAAAGGTGAAAGAAAGCAGGAAGAAAAAAAAAGTCTTTACTAGCAACCAAGAAGAAAAGAATTTTGATCACTGAGAATTGCACAACTGCCCTCATCTCACATGCCAGAAAAGTAAAACTCAAAATTCTCCAAGCAGGGCTTCAACAGTACATGAACCATGAACTTCCAGATGTTCAATTTGGATTTCCAAAAGGCAGAGGAACCAGAGATCAAATTGCCAACATCTGTTGGATCATCAAAAAAGCAAGAGAATTTCAGGAAAAAATATACTGCTGCTTTATTGACTATGCCAAAGCCTTTGACTGAGTGGATCACAACAAACTGTGGAAAATTCTTCAAGAGATGGAAATACCAGCCCACCTGACCTGCCTCCTGAGAAATCTGTTTGCAGGTCAGGAAGCAACAGTTAGAACTGGACATGGAACAAGAGACTGGCTCCAAATCGGGAAAGGACTACGTCAAGGCTGTATATTGTCATCCTGCTTATTTAACTTATATGCAGAGTACATCNAGATCCAACCAGTCCATCTTAAAGGAAATCAGTCCTGAATAGTCATTGGAAGGACTGATGCTGAAGCTGAAACTCCAATCCTTTGGCCACCTGATGTGAAAAACTGACCCTGATGCTGGGAAAGACTGAAGGCAGGAGGAGAAGGGGACAACAGAGGATGAGATGGTTGGATGGCATCACCAACTCAACGGACATGAATTTGAGTAGGCTCTGGGAGTTGGTGATGGACAGGGAAGCCTGGCATGCTACAGTCCACGGTAGCACGTGTCAAAGAGTTGGACAAGACTGAGTGACTGAACTGAACTGAGAAATACACTTAACAACAGAAATAAATTCCCTTTGCTTTAGTCTAACAAATACATTCTATTGTTAATATATTTGGGAAAAGAGCAGTTTTCATAACTACAAGCAATTAATCTACAGTAAAGATATTCCAGGGGCACTCACTGCCGACCTTACTGCTTTTGGGGGTCATGGGCAGAGGTCTGTTTTCACATGTGTGATTATATTAACACACATCTACAGTGTAAGACACCCAGAAACAAGAGCAGACATCCTGCGTGGACACACCAAGCCTGTATACTGCAGAATTTATCTACAGGAGGAAGCAGTGTGGTTGCAGGAGTGCACAGGGTGTTGGAGTCAGACCTGGGTCTAAACACTGACTCTGTGCCATTTACAGCTATGATTTCTGATTCCTTCATCTTTTAATCCATTGCCCCATTCTATTTTTCTTCACAGCACTTATCCTCCACATGAAATTATATGTTCATTTGGTTAAATGTTATAGTCTTGTCTCCTCCGCAAGAATTTAAGTTTCACCAGGGCAGACTTTATACCAGCTAGCTGTGCCTAGCTCAGAGTAGGTGCTCAATAAGTCTTTGTTGAGTTGAGTGAACGAATGAGCCAGATATCTCTTGCAGGACTGTTGTGCTTGCATGTGTAGCTCAGCCTTCTATCTGGACTACACCTAGGGCGTTCTGTTTACCTGCGTTAGAGCTTCAAGAAGGTAATAAATGTGTCTTTTTGTAGATTGTCAGAGCTGGAGTCCTAGAGACTCAAAGGTGTTAGTAGCTCAGTCCTGTTCAACTCTTTGTTACCCCATGGACTGTAACCCACCAGGCTCCTCTGCCCACAGAATTCTCCAGGCAAGAATACTGGCATGGGTAGCCATTCCCTTCTCCAGGGGATCTTCCTGACCCTGGGATCAAACCTGGGTCTCCCACATGGCAGGCAGATTCTTCACCATCTGAGTCACCAGGGAAGCCCTCCTAGAGACTATTCTTTATCCACCTCCCCCACCCCCTCATTTTACAGATCCCAAACTGAGCCTCTTCACCCAGTTAGGGGACTTCTTGGTGATACACAGCACCAGCAAACCAAACCCAGAGTCCACATAACCTGATCCCGGGTCCATCACCTTTCCACTGAGAAGCTCCACCAGCCACTGGGCTTGACTCACTGTATGTTCCTGCTGCCAGGATTCTGACACATTTTGTCAAACAAACAAATCGTTTCTGGCAAGACACCCCTGGCACTTCTCCTATACTCCAGAAAGCGTGCTACGAGCTTTAAAGATATTATTTCACTTGATTCTCATACTAACTCTAGGATATGGGTATTTTTATTCCAACCTTTCAAATGAATAGACCTGAGGCTCTGCAAAGTTAAATAGCTTGCTTTCAACACACAGGTATTACAGGGCACTCTCTAAAGCCTCCTCTTTACATGCCCCCCCACCATCATCGATAGTGATCATTTGTGGTTCTTAGGCTTCTAAGTACTCTGTAAATGAAGTTTTCGGATCCCATGGCTCCCTAACCAGATTGCTGCCTCTAACCTCCCACCATGCTTGTGGGGATCCCACGGCCAGCAGCACAGAAGCTAAATAATGGCACAGCTGGGGTCAGTTCTGGGATCTGAACCCATGGCGTCCCTCTTCAACATGAAGTTCTATCTCCCAAGTCCTACATACCATTTCCAAAGGAAGTCTTTCTCTTGGGATTAAAAAAAAAAAAAAAGTCCACTTTTCTGCATTCTCTAGTTATACTAAAACATCAATCACCCTCTGTCCTCCAGCCCCCCTGGTCTTTAAATCATTCTTAATAATCCTACAGATGACAAATCCCCATAGACCCACCTTATCTCCCAGGGCTGGGCTTTAAGTCTGAACCCTAAATTCTGGGAATGTGGCCAGTCAATTAAAGAACTCTGCAGTTCACCTCAAGGGACAGGCAACACTTTCTAGAGAAAAGAACGCACCCTGGTCATTATTCCTGCCACATTTAAGGTTCTCTTACATTCCAAGTTCAAGGCTAACTCTTGAGTATTTTCCTCTGTGTTTAATTTTCTCCTTCCCCAGGTGGGAGTAAGTCTGGGACCTCTTCATGACCCATTTTCTCCCAAAGGTGAAAAAAAGGATACAGTTTCTTACAATTTTGCCATTTTGATTCCTGGCTGAGAACACTTGTAAAACATCACGGAAAGGCAAATCCGGATGGACCCCAACTCCCATTCCAGATTGTTAAGGACCAATGCACAGAAGAAAAAGAAGGCGACAGAGACTTGTGTAAAGACACACAGCGAGTCCATCCATGGCAGCTCTGAAAGCCGACCCCCAGCTCCTGGAGCTCATTCCCTGAAAGTCACCCAAGAGAGATGTCCTCTTCTTGGGAAACGTGGTGAGCACATGTGTTATCTGTCAACTTCCTAAACGTGTCCATCTTCCTCAAGTGAACTCTCAATGTCCTGGTGAGCTGATGGGAGTCGGAAACACCAACACTGCTCAGACCTCTTTCCACGGCGGGAGGTGGGGGCAAACGGCCCTCCCTGCGCAGCTAAGGCCCCCCAGGCTCACCTGTCCAAAGTCGCTGAGTTTCCTGCCCAAGGCTCCGGTCTCCAGGACGAGAGTTGACATGCTGGCTCGGTAGCGCGGGCCTTCTCTACAGTACGGCTCAGCCGCAGGGAGATTTGCAAACAGCGCAAACAGCAGGTAGTGCTGAGGTTTTAAACCTGGCTTTCGGGAGGAGCGCCTCAAAGTCTCCGGCCGCGCACCCGCCGCGGGAACGCCCCCCGATGGGCGTTGTCCTGACGCTGCTGGGCTCTGGGTCGGGACCTGGACTACCCAGACGGGAGGGGCGGGCAGGGCGGCCGGGGAGGGTGTGGCGGCTGCCCAGAGGCCGAACTTGGCTGCCCTCCTGGCAGGTGGGAAGGCCAGCGAGGGAGGGCAGGACCACCTGTGCCCTGGCGATTAGACAGGTTGGGCATTTCCAGGACTTTCCAAAGCCCGGGCACAGATTCTCTGCCACTGGAGTAAATTTGTGGCTGCCTGATGAAAACAATTATAAGAAGCAGAGTCAAGATCTTAGAGCGACCCACTCCAGTACTCTTGCCTAGAAAACCCCATGGACGGAGGAGCTTGGTGCAGGCTACTGTCCATGAGGTCGCAGAGGGTTGGGCACGACTGAGCGACTTCACTTTCCTTTCTAGTAACCACCAAAGAAACGACCTTTTGGGGTCTGACTTCAGAAAACTAAATAGGTGACGCTGTGAATACTGGGCACTGTTGCTAAGGAGCAGAGGTGGGAGCAAGACCTGGGCTGAAATGCAGCCCGCGTGTCACTGAGCTGATTACATCGCCGCTGGGAGCGCGCAGAAGGGGGTGGTGGCAGCACCTTACCAGGACGTTGTGGTAAGGCTGTGGGTAAGAGAAAGCATGAGGTGACACCTTTAACATTAAGTGGAGTTTCTGCCCTCTGAGCCACCCTCCCTCCCTCCGAGGTGGCGCTAGCGGTAAAGAACCCGCCTCCCATTGCAGGAGGCAAAAGAGACCGGTTCGATCCCTGGGTTAGGAAGATCCCCTGGAGGAGGGCATGGCAACCCAGTTCACTATTCTTGTATCCTCTGTCCGTGGGATAGGAGAATTCCTGGAGAATCAACCCCATGGACAGAGGAGCCTGGCAAGCTAGGATCCACGAGGTTGCAGAATCCGAAAGGACTGAAGCGAGGTAACAGAGTTCTTGCCGTATAGGTCAGCACCCAGTAACGGGAGACACCGCTTCAAAGTGCACCATAGAAGTGCTTCCTGCGGGCCTTTCTTGTGTGCTAGGTGAAGGGGATGCAGGGGGGACCCTGCCTTCATTCTGGAAGACAGACAGCTAACATGTAAGTTTAAGCAGAGTTAAGCCTTCTGAAGAAAATAAAATAGGGGGACGGGCTAATCTGCAGGAAGATGTCATTCACCTCCACTTTTTCAGTTCTGACACTGAGGTGAGACACTCATTCCCAGCAGGCAAAACTAATTTATAAGAACACTGCAAAGACAGAAGTTCAGAAAAGATGTGAAACAAATCAAGATCGTCAAGGCCTTGAGTCTCTGCCTAATATTTAGCCAGGAGAGTGTAATGGGCTAAGAGAAAACAAGTCAAGAAGCCAATAATAGAGGCTGCTAGAAATCCACCCATTCCCCTCCCACGATTCTTTGACGGAGCGACCAGGCACATGCCAAAAGATTAAAAAAATAAACAAATAAATCTCAGATTTGGGATTCAAAACAAGCAGATTGATTCCTGATGCCACCACTAACTTTGGTCAAGTCCTTGCCTCGGTTTGTCTTTAAAATGGGGCTTTAACAGGGAGTCTGGCTCAGTGCTCTGTGATGACCTAGAGGGTGATATGAAGGTGGGGTGGGAGGGAGGCTCAAGAGGCAAGGGGTATATATGTGCTTATGACTGACTCGTGATGTTGTACTGCACAGACCCACACAACTTTGTGATGAAATTATCCTCCAATTAAGAATAAACAAATAATAAATTTAAGAGGCAAAAAAATAAAATAAAATGGGGTTTTAAGGGTTGTTTAGGATTCTTGGAGCCTCTATTGCATGCCTGGCTTTCTACTGGTTGCTATGAATACAGACATAATTTCTGTTCAAAAGGAGTCTTTGGGTGTGTGGTTAATATTCCCTGTGGTCAGATGGAGGATCAATGTTGTTGAACATAGAAGAGCAAGACCTTGACTTCCACCCTCAGGAGAATCCATATCCTTGATCAGACTCCAGTGTTCTTCTAGTGTGATAGACGTGAGGTTCAGCCCCTAGGTCTAGAAGATCCGTTGGAGGAGGAAATGGCAACCCACTCCAGTATACTTGCCTGGAAAGTTCTATGGACAGAAAAGCCTGGTGGGCTACAGTCCATGGGGCCTCAAAGAGTTGGATATGACTGAGTGACTAAGCTCGCACATACACACAGACATGAGATGAAGAGTTTCCCTCCACCCCAAGATTGCCTTACAAACATCACTTCATCCCTTGATGTTGCTGCCATACTAAGGAGAGCAATGAATGTGACAACCCTGTTATGTTGCTATTTAAGAGGCATGCAATGAATAAAAGCAAGCAATAACAGTTTCTTACTTAAATAAATGTATACTGTATTGTGGACACTGCCAAGCATTCCCCATGCGTGGTTTCATTTTTCCCTCTAAAACCTTGAACTACGAATCCCCACTTTATAAATAAAGAAACTGAGACATGGAAAGTTTAAATAAGTAGTTCAAAGTCAAACGACATTTCACCCAGGTCCAAGGCACTGGCTCTTACACACTCTTCCTTCCCTTTTAAAAATAAGGACAGTAATGATTTTTAGGACAACAAAATAATAGCACTTCTTTTTTCTTTTCTCACCTACTAAAAATAAAATTCTTAATTTCCTCTCACATAAAAATGACCCAGATCTGTGTTGGGAGGAGAGCACAATTAGTTGCCTGCTGCTTTAGGGAAAAACATTTAGTAGCTTCTTTTCAAAATTGTTTTGGCTAAAAGGGGAAATTTATCCATGCAATAATATTAAAACTCACTTATCATGAGATTGCTGCTGACATGAATTTTGTACTGATTTAAAAAAAAACTATCATTTTAATTGGGATGGAATGCAATGTGTTGCTGTTGTGAACTGAGCCCTAAGAAAATTGGTGTAAAAGGAACACCCAAGAATTCAGCCTGTGTGGAGAGGATATGAAGAAAAAGGAACCCTCTTACACTGTTGGTGGGAATGCAAACTAGTACAGCCACTATGGAAAATAGTGTGGAAATTCCTTAAAAAACTAGACATAGAACTGCCAAACAACCCACCAATCCCACTGCTGGGCATACACACCGAGGACACCAGATCTGAAAGAGTCACGTGCACCCCAATGTTCATCGCAGCACTGTTAACAATAGCCAGGACATGGAAGCAACCTAGATGTCCAATGTCAGATGAATGGATAAGAAAGATGTGGTACATATACACAATGGAATATTACTCAGCTATTGAAAAGAATGCATTTGAATCAGTTCTAATGAGGTGGATGAAACTGGAGCATATTATACAGAGTGAACTAAGTCAGAAAGAAAAACACCAATACAGTATATTAACACATATATATAGAATTTAGAAAGGTGGTAACAATGACCCTATATGCAAGATAGCAAAAGAGACACAGATATAAAGAACAGACTTTTGGACTCTATGGGAGAAGGCGAGGGTAGGATGATTTGAGAGAATAGCATTGAAACATGTATATTACCATATGTGAAATAGATCGCCAGTCCATGTTTGATGCATGAGACAAGTGCTCAGGGCTGGTGCACTGGGATGACCCAGAGGGATGGGATGGGGAGGGAGGTGGGTGGGGGGTTCAATCCATGTTTGATGCATGAGACAAGTGCTCAGGGCTGGTGCACTGGGATGACCCAGAGGGATGGGATGGGGAGGGAGGTGGGAGGGGTGATTGGGATGGGGGACACATGTAAATCCATGGCTGATTCATGTCAATGTCTGGCAAAAACCACTACAATATTGTAAAGTAATTAGCTTCCAACTAATAAAAATAAAGGAAAAAAAGAGAGAGAGAATAGCATCGAAACATGTATATTACATATGTGAAATAGATGACCAGTCCAAGTTTGATGCATGAAACGGCACTCAAAGCCCGTGCAATGGGACAACCCTGAGGGATGGGGAGGGAGGTGGGAGGGGTGTTCAGGATGGGGGCACATGTACACCCATGGCTGATTCATGTTAACATATGGCAAAAACCACTATGATATTCTAAAGTAATTAGACTCCAATTAAAATAAATAAATTAGTTTTTTTAAAAAAGAGAGAGCATTCAGCCTGTCGACCACTGAGATTGGCTAACCGACCAGGCAGAAGTAGGCACCATGTCGCAAGATGTGCAGTTGTATGCCTGGTAAACTGAGAGCTGACCTTCACTGATTTGGAAGTTGAAGATTTCCCAATCACCGCAGGTTATCAAACACTTGTCATTTAACCTCACAGGTAGAGAGTTGAGTTAATCATAATCTCTGAGTTCATGGCAAGTAATCAAAACCTCCAAGGCCCCTCTCTTGTTTTATTTATTCATTGTCTTTTATCTTCCTGCCACATTCCCATTCCCTTCCCCTAGATACAACATCCTTAACATGTTTTAATATTTAGTCATGGATTTATTAGCTACAAGGAAATATAGGCGAATTTTAATGAATATGAGTGGTGTCATAATATAGATTTGTTGTTGTTGTTTAGTCATTAAGCCGTGTCCAACTCTTTTGTGACCCCATGGACTGTAGCCTGCCAGGCTCCTCTGTCCATGGGATTCTCCAGGCAAGGATACCGGAGAAGGTTGCCATTTCCCACTCCAGGGGATCTTACTGACCCAGGGTTTGAACCTGTGTCTCCTGCATTGGCAGGCAGATTCCTTACCACTGAACCATCTGGGAAGCCCCAGTATAGATTTACTACAGCCTATCAATGTACTACAGATTTTCTGGTTTCTAACTTTTTTCTTTCTACATTCTTGGAATGTGGCCATGCTACTGAATGTAGTAACTCTTTGCTCCTTTAGCTAGTGTAGTATGTTTCACACTGTATAACTACCATATTTGATTTTTCCATTCCCCGTGATGGATTCTAAGCTATCTCTAACTTTCCACCACGCCCCACAGTAAAACTGTGATAAATATCCTCATCC